AGGCCGATCCACGTGTATCGATTAACCCGCGCGGTGGATGCGGTCATCTTACAGTCTGCTCCCCCGCACTGCCAAACGCAACACACCCCTCTCTCATTCTGCTCTCCATTTGCACTGCGATAATACCAAAATCCTGCTCTCTGCCCCACTCCGCCAGTCTGAGCCAAGAAAATGAGCCCATCTTTCCAGCGCAGGTTGATCGATGCAGCGCATATCTCCGCGCGCAGACTCCAGCGCATCTTCATTCTGCAGAGGCCTGACAAAACTTCTCCATTCTGACCCGCACAGCGCCAGAAGCAGGGTTCATAGAGGGCCAGCGGTGAAGAGACTGCAAATAGGTTATCATGCTCAGAATAAAGCTCACTGCTGGGTGTGTTTGGCAGGGAATGCTCCTGAAAATATTCCTTAATGGCAGAAAAGAATCATAGTCGAATAGCTTGAAAGGAGGGATGTTGAAAGCAATCTCCAGGGAGAAAATATGCCCACTAACACCGGCATCGATCACATTGAAGATGACACAGCAGTAAGAAAATGAGACAAAACTCAATTCCAACAGTTCATATTCCATTTTTCTCCCTTGCAGCTGAGGACTAAAAAGGGCAATTACCTAGCACTTCAGAAATGCCTCTTTCTTTACAAAGAGATAAAGAGAGACGTACCCCGGGCTTGTTGTTTTGTTCTGTGGGGATTTGTCATATCTGAGACATTTAGCCATTTTCTCAACTGTCAACTCTTGCTCTCACTCAGCTCCATCATTCTGTGGCGACATTCATCATATCCCGATATCAGCAGGACAGTGTTTTGATGCGGATCTCTCGCCTGGCTCACCGAATTTAGTATTCCAGCGTAAATCTGCAAAGAAAGGACAGTGAAAGTGCAAACGCCAGTCTTGCGTGTTTTCGAGTGGGAGTGGAACGGCAGGGGTTAGTGCTGAATTACAGACTGTCACTGCTTGGACAGGGAGCGCAGACGCAGGGGACAGGCGGACAGAGCCGGTGTCCAGACGAAGAACAAGCCGCAGTCAGGCCAGCATTGAACTTTGGCTTTCCTCCTGTCAGCGCGTAAGACACGAGGCGGCTTTAAATAAATTGCTCTTGCTATAGATACCAGATGTAGTGCACGTATTTAGACTGCTAGATCTCTAATTCATCTTCACGTCTGTGAGACAGGGACAGGATTCAGGCCATCGTATCAGCACTGTTTCTCACAATTTAACCAATAGCAAACATAGTTTCAATGAAAAGTTCAAAACAGTTCATTAAAATGGTCTGATGAGGCATGTTAAATGTAAAAAGAAAAAATAGTTATATATCAGCCTTTATACTGGTTATCAACAATAGCATAATAATTATACTAATTAATAATATTTGTTTTAATAATATTGCCTGTGCCCTTTATTTGCAGCATATATTTTATATTGCCCCTTACATAAAAAATATTAGTATTACTACTACTACTATACTACTAAGTACATAATATTATATTGCTATTAAAAATTATATTATTTGATGTAACAACAACAACATACTACTATTTAGTATATAATATTATAATATACAATTTTTTATAATATTATTATTAAAAATTACATTATTAGATGTAACAACAATAATCATTTTAATAATAATAATAATAAATAAAAATAATGATGATGTTTATTTTGAACAGTCGGTGCTTTTTATTTGCAGAATATATTGTATAATATTATTCATTACATTAAAAATATATCATTAGTAGTAGTAGTATTGGTATTAGTATTACTACTACTACTACTTAGCACATAATATTATAATATATTATTGTTATTAAAAATTACATTATTAGATGTAACAACAACAACAATAATCATTTTATTCAAAAATAATGTTTATTTTGAACAGTTGGTGCTTTTTATTTGAAGAATATATTTTATATTGGCCATAACAACAACAACAACAATAATAATAATATATCTATTATTATTATATTTGTTTTGTATAATATTATTAACTATTAAATTATATATATTAATATGATGATATAATATGTAATAATATAATATAGGCTTTCATTTGCTGTAATACTAAATGATTTATAGAATCTCGTTTTCTAAGGTGACCTGCTTGCTTTGTGTTAATATGGTAATTAATTCAAAGTCTGATTAAAGCTCTATTCACAGCCCCCCGATAACGGCCTTATAACATACAGATGAAGGGAGATCTGAAAGAGCGCATTGTATTACCTCAGGGGGTCCCATTAGACGGGTCATCCGTGTGTCTCTCAGTGTTAACATTTGAAGAAACTTAAAAGGTGAAGATGCTGATGCTCTTCGACTGCGACTTGACACATTTGCCCCAGGAGTCTCTTTTTCAGCAGGCCATGTGCCGCTTTAGACACCTCTGGACCGTCTCCATAGGCCCACTTTCATCATAAATCCTCACATATCTAACACGTCTGAGAACTACTTCCTGCTCTCATTTGCCCACAAGGACCTGCTTCCTGATGGGCTGTTTAGTTCAATAAACAATTCAGCCAGATAAAATGATAGTATACCTAACTGAAATACTCTCCTGACCTGTACATTTTAAGCTGATCGTAGTAAAGCCCATTACAGTTATCTGATGTGTTCCTAATACTTCTTAGCCAGGTGACATGCATAAGGAGTCATGTCATTACACAGGAACTTTTGTTTTTCCGCTGATGCCATCAAGAGCGAGGGCTGGCAATGGAAAGCTATATAAGCAGCACGATTCATCCCAGTCCTGAAGATGACACAGCAGTAAGAAAATGAGACAAAACTCAATTCCAACAGTTCATATTCCATTTTTCTCCCTTGCAGCTGAGGACTAAAAAGGGCAATTACCTAGCACTTCAGAAATGCCTCTTTCTTTACAAAGAGATAAAGAGAGACGTACCCCGGGCTTGTTGTTTTGTTCTGTGGGGATTTGTCATATCTGAGACATTTAGCCATTTTCTCAACTGTCAACTCTTGCTCTCACTCAGCTCCATCATTCTGTGGCGACATTCATCATATCCCGATATCAGCAGGACAGTGTTTTGATGCGGATCTCTCGCCTGGCTCACCGAATTTAGTATTCCAGCGTAAATCTGCAAAGAAAGGACAGTGAAAGTGCAAACGCCAGTCTTGCGTGTTTTCGAGTGGGAGTGGAACGGCAGGGGTTAGTGCTGAATTACAGACTGTCACTGCTTGGACAGGGAGCGCAGACGCAGGGGACAGGCGGACAGAGCCGGTGTCCAGACGAAGAACAAGCCGCAGTCAGGCCAGCATTGAACTTTGGCTTTCCTCCTGTCAGCGCGTAAGACACGAGGCGGCTTTAAATAAATTGCTCTTGCTATAGATACCAGATGTAGTGCGCGTATTTAGACTGCTAGATCTCTAATTCATCTTCACGTCTGTGAGACAGGGACAGGATTCAGGCCATCGTATCAGCACTGTTTCTCACAATTTAACCAATAGCAAACATAGTTTCAATGAAAAGTTCAAAACAGTTCATTAAAATGGTCTGATGAGGCATGTTAAATGTAAAAAGAAAAAATAGTTATATATCAGCCTTTATACTGGTTATCAACAATAGCATAATAATTATACTAATTAATAATATTTGTTTTAATAATATTGCCTGTGCCCTTTATTTGCAGCATATATTTTATATTGCCCCTTACATAAAAAATATTAGTATTACTACTACTACTATACTACTAAGTACATAATATTATATTGCTATTAAAAATTATATTATTTGATGTAACAACAACAACATACTACTATTTAGTATATAATATTATAATATACAATTTTTTATAATATTATTATTAAAAATTACATTATTAGATGTAACAACAATAATCATTTTAATAATAATAATAATAAATAAAAATAATGATGATGTTTATTTTGAACAGTCGGTGCTTTTTATTTGCAGAATATATTGTATAATATTATTCATTACATTAAAAATATATCATTAGTAGTAGTAGTATTGGTATTAGTATTACTACTACTACTACTTAGCACATAATATTATAATATATTATTGTTATTAAAAATTACATTATTAGATGTAACAACAACAACAATAATCATTTTATTCAAAAATAATGTTTATTTTGAACAGTTGGTGCTTTTTATTTGAAGAATATATTTTATATTGGCCATAACAACAACAACAACAATAATAATAATATATCTATTATTATTATATTTGTTTTGTATAATATTATTAACTATTAAATTATATATATTAATATGATGATATAATATGTAATAATATAATATAGGCTTTCATTTGCTGTAATACTAAATGATTTATAGAATCTCGTTTTCTAAGGTGACCTGCTTGCTTTGTGTTAATATGGTAATTAATTCAAAGTCTGATTAAAGCTCTATTCACAGCCCCCCGATAACGGCCTTATAACATACAGATGAAGGGAGATCTGAAAGAGCGCATTGTATTACCTCAGGGGGTCCCATTAGACGGGTCATCCGTGTGTCTCTCAGTGTTAACATTTGAAGAAACTTAAAAGGTGAAGATGCTGATGCTCTTCGACTGCGACTTGACACATTTGCCCCAGGAGTCTCTTTTTCAGCAGGCCATGTGCCGCTTTAGACACCTCTGGACCGTCTCCATAGGCCCACTTTCATCATAAATCCTCACATATCTAACACGTCTGAGAACTACTTCCTGCTCTCATTTGCCCACAAGGACCTGCTTCCTGATGGGCTGTTTAGTTCAATAAACAATTCAGCCAGATAAAATGATAGTATACCTAACTGAAATACTCTCCTGACCTGTACATTTTAAGCTGATCGTAGTAAAGCCCATTACAGTTATCTGATGTGTTCCTAATACTTCTTAGCCAGGTGACATGCATAAGGAGTCATGTCATTACACAGGAACTTTTGTTTTTCCGCTGATGCCATCAAGAGCGAGGGCTGGCAATGGAAAGCTATATAAGCAGCACGATTCATCCCAGTCCTGACCACTCTTGATTGACTGTGCTCACCCAGGAACGGTAAGTGTGAAACCAAACATATTTTGGTTGCTTTTCTAGATGATCAAGCTTGCAAAAAGGTGGAAAGAACCAACTCTTTAGGTGTTTTCATCAGTTTAACTTAAAACTGTGCTCTTCATTCATACATATTTATGCATTCATTCCAGGCAGTACATGTCCACAGCTTCTGCCCATCATGGTCCAGTTGCTCCAGGCAGCAGCAATAATCCTGCTGCTGGCCTCTCTGCCTGGATCACTCTCTACTCCATCTCAGCATCTGTGCGGCTCCAACCTGGTGGACGCGCTTTTCCTTGTGTGTGGGCCTAAAGGCTTCTTTTACTCCAGCAGAAGCAGGAGGGACCTGGAGACTTTGCTGGGTGAGGACTCTCTGTAAATGTACATATACAGTTTTTAAATAGTGGAAGATTTCAAATATTAAGTGTTCACTTCCTCTTCCAGCCTTGCTCTCAAATTTAGCAGATTCCGAGGTAGCGGAGGCTGATCCATTAAAACAGAAGGTGATGATGAAGATGAAGAGAGGGATAGTGGAACAGTGCTGTCACAGGCCCTAGCGAGGGCTGGCAATGGAAAGCTATATAAGCAGCACGATTCATCCCAGTCCTGACCACTCTTGATTGACTGTGCTCACCCAGGAACAGTAAGTGTGAAACCAAACATATTTTGGTTGCTTTTCTAGATGATCAAGCTTGCAAAAAGGTGGAAAGAACCAACTCTTTAGGTGTTTTCATCAGTTTAACTTAAAACTGTGCTCTTCATTCATACATATTTATGCATTCATTCCAGGCAGTACATGTCCACAGCTTCTGCCCATCATGGTCCAGTTGCTCCAGGCAGCAGCAATAATCCTGCTGCTGGCCTCTCTGCCTGGATCACTCTCTACTCCATCTCAGCATCTGTGCGGCTCCAACCTGGTGGACGCGCTTTTCCTTGTGTGTGGGCCTAAAGGCTTCTTTTACTCCAGCAGAAGCAGGAGGGACCTGGAGACTTTGCTGGGTGAGGACTCTCTGTAAATGTACATATACAGTTTTTAAATAGTGGAAGATTTCAAATATTAAGTGTTCACTTCCTCTTCCAGCCTTGCTCTCAAATTTAGCAGATTCCGAGGTAGCGAAGGCTGATCCATTAAAACAGAAGGTGATGATGAAGATGAAGAGAGGGATAGTGGAACGGTGCTGTCACAGGCCCTGCACCATCTACCACCTGGAGGACTACTGCAGCGGAACAAGCTGAAATGCTTTGTAAAGGTTAAAGATTTTAATAAATGATCATTACATGCTAGTATTTGCTTGATTGTTTGCTTGTCATTTTGAATGGAAGCTTGAAAGAATGTTAAGTGACAGAAACATGTTCCGGTTTCCCTTGTGTTCTAGCACCCTCTGCTGGGACTCTCATGAGTTTAGGCTCTCAAACTGATGAGAAATGGATGTTACAGTAATAAAATGTTTTATAGAGAGAAAAGCAAGTATTACTATTTTATTAAAAAAAAGATCCCATTCACACTTTCTGCCCTATTAATAAAAACATTAAAATCTAGTTTTTTCATTAAAGGGGCATCTATAGTTTTTACATTAAAGGGACAGTCCACCCAAAAAATTAAACCGTTTCATTGTTTACTCACCCTCATGTCATTCCAAACCTGTATTACTTTCTTCTGTGGAACATAAAGGATGATAATTTGAAGAATGTTGTCCCATTGACTTCCATTGTATGGACCCCAAAAAAAAGTAAAGAAAAAGGGAAACGAAATGGTTTGGTCACCAACATTCCTCATCATCTCTTCTACGTCCCACAGAAGAATCAAATGCATACAGGTTTGGGACGACATGAGGGTGGATTTTTTGGTGGACTATCCCTTTAAGACCAGTCACAGGCAAAGCAAACAAACGATCAAATTAAGTATTAAAATTACAAAATAATATTGCAAACTAAATAATATTGCAACTAAACTTTTATAGAAAAGAGGAACAAATTGAACAAAACGACTCCTCACAAGGCTCGCTGGACACTTTAAAAACAAAGAGTGGGCTAACTTTGAACTTTTTAAAGAGTTTAAGACAATAGCACACCCAGTGCTGAACAAAACCAGATAACAGAACATTCTGTGAATCCAAGCCCATATAAGCATATTTTTTCTACTGTAGTCAAATCAAGAGCAACATTTAAAAAGGGGGGTTGTCAGTTACACATGGATATTGAGTGACAATAACAACGGTACTAACATTAATTAAATTCATACACAAAAAATAAAACATACATAAAAAAGATCAGCATTATCAGAGGCACAGTCAGGACATTTGAGCGCTGAACCATCCCATCACAGTGTTCATGTTGCAAAGTCATCCATAGGCCAGGGACATTACACAAAGGTAGTCCATGAGTGATAGTTTAATACAATTTTTTGTTGCCTTGGAAACAAAGAAAAAGCATAAGTAGATTTTAAATTTATAATAAAAAGAACATACAAAAATAATATAAAATGTGTAGCAAGTTAGTCTACTGTTCTCGAGTTACTCACCTTGTGAAAGAGCTGAAGTGGGCTGCTGGTTTTCTTTGAGGTCGTATTTGAAAGCCTTGCTGGGGTCCAATCTCCGCGGCGTCTGACCGGACTTGAGCCGATCCAGCTCTTGCTTCTGTTTCCCGACCTGTGCCCTTAGCTTGAACACGTCCTGCAGAACACATGAACACGCTCAGCTACATAGCAAAAACATCAGTCAAACAATGACTATTGCCTTATGACTACTGCCTTACTTCTTTGAGCTCCAAGTTCTCCTCTTTTAGTTTGACCATGTGTTTGATCTTCTGTTTCTGGTTTTGATGACCCATCAGGTTGGCGTAGGCATCGGCTAACTTGTTCAACTCCGCCTGCGTGGCTCCTTTCTCATTCAACAAAGCGTTCCTCTCTGCTGCAAAGCGGTCCAGCTGTTCCTGAAGACCAGAATAAGAAGACAAATGAGAGGATTCGTCTAGCACATATTTACTGCCCCTTATCCAAGACTTGTCTCTACTGTTTTTGCAATATAAAACCAAGCTATGTGTAGCACCTTCCACTCTGCACATACTGGCTGACTAGTCTTTTCAATGCGACCTTAACACCGCATTTGTGAATATTGCAAATAGTGCTTTTACTAAATTTCATTGTGAAGCTTGTTCGCAAAGCTCTCTTAAAGCAAAAAATAAAAATAAAAAAAGTGTTTAAAGTCCGCGTGAACCGGAAGCTGCCTACTTTTTCAGTATAGCAGGGTTCCTACATTTTCCATTTCAAAATTCCATATTTTTCCAGACTCAAATTTCCATACTTCTCAGTAGATGTTCAGACCATGTTTAACATATATGGTTCATACAGCACTAGTTTCATCTTTATATTTGGTATATATTATAGTCATCTGTAAATATTCAGCCCCAACCAACATACAGCTAGGAGGACCATGACTACATTTAAATATTTTGTTTAAAAGCCTAGTACATTTTTATTTTATAGAATAGAAAAGAAAGCCTGCTAGAAAAGTATCTAGGGAAACAAATTTATTTTAAAGTCTAGTTTAGTGTAAAAACAACACTACATGTACAAATGTTAATAGTTTAATGACAGTAATTCCTCAATGTTTTATTCCTGTATTCACACCAAAAAATAAGATTTTTTTTTATATTTTAAAGTTTATTAAATTCCTTGTTACATATTTCTTGTTCATTTAATGCATATGTATTTGATGTACACATTTAAAGTTTTTAAATTAAACATTTATTAATAAATGTTTCAAACAGTGAGAGGAAATCGCTCACTCCTCTCTACTGCTGCTCTCTCTCGCATTGTCTTTTTTTGCCTCCAACTTCAGGAAGTCTAAGAGGTCATTTCTATCTTTGTGCTATAGGCCTATATTTGGCGGATGACGTAGCACGCAGGCAAACGCGGAAGTGACGAACGTGGAAGCGCAGAGGAGAGAGCAAAACAAAACACCGGTCACGAATTAGTAGTACAAAACGAGGATTTGTAAAGAAAAATTTCGGAGGATTTCAATATAAGCCAAGAGGACACTGGTTTTCTTTGCTGTAAACAAAACTTGTTTCTCGCGACACTAGCATATTCTCAACGGAGCTTACGCTACGCCTACGTCATCCGCTGGACGCCACTCTCTTGTGAACGCGCATAAGACAGCTAGCAGAAGCTAGAAATTAAGGTTTATAAAGTTATAAATAAGGATATTTTTCTTACACAAATGCATCTCGTCGCTTCAGAAGGCCTTTATTAACCCCCCGGAGCCGTGTGGACTTCTTTTATAATGGATTGGTTAAATTTTTTGGACTTCAAATTTTGGGCTACCATCCACTCCCATTATAAAGCTGGGAAGAGCCAGGATGTTTTTTAATATAACTCGGATTGTATTCGTCTGAAAGAAGAAAGTCATATACATCTAGGATGGCTTGAGGGTAAGTAAAACATGGGGTAATTTTCATTTTTGGGTGAACTAACCCTTTAACTTGCACGGATTAACGGTTCACCTTAAGACACAATGTGCACTAACAAAATTAATATTGTAAATTTTGATTTCATGCGGACTTTAATTACAAAAGTCAAAGAGAGGATAGTCGGCAGAAAATGATAATAAAAACAAATTTACTGGATTTGCCAAAAAAAATAAATAAATAAATAAACAATTAAATATATAAAAAAAAACAGGAAAACTTCTATTTATAAAATGTAATATAAATATCTTTTCCTTTAGTTTTTTATTCTTAAGGGGAAAAAACAAATAAAAACTAATTTAATTGTATAAAGGGAATAAAATAAGAGGATTAATTTGGGGGGAAAAAAGAGAATGAAATAAAAAGCTAACTAAAAATAGAAAAATATAAATGTAATAAAGAAATAAACTGGCACATTAAATGTAATCTTTGCTTACCTGAAATGGTTTTACTTTAGCATAGAGCTCTTCATACAAGTTTCTCCAGTGCTCAGTCTCAGCATCACACGTGCTGGGAGTGAATGAATGACAATATGGGATTAAACAAAAAAAAATGTAACGCACACAGAGACTTGAGCACTGCATGTCTTAGTGCATGAGGACACTGATGGACTAGAGACCTCGTTGAGTGCGTTGTAACTTTCTCACCTCTGCAGCTGAGCCTCTGCGAGTTGTTTGTGGTGGTCTTGCCTTTCCTCTTCCATCTGTCTGCATAGCTGTCGTCTCTCCTGCTCCCACTCAACAACTTGATGCTCAGCAGTGTCTCTTTCCTCCTGCACCTGCCTGTTGAGCTCAGAAACCTCGTCTTCTAGTTCCTCCACGCGGCCCCGCAGCCTGCTGGCTTCTGCAGAACGGCCCTCCACTGACTGCCTCTTCTGTTCTCTCTCCAGCTGGGCCTGAGCCCGCTCTCGCTCTCCTCTCTCGTGCTTCACCTCCGCCTGCAGGCTTCTCAGCTCCTCACTCCGAGTCTCTGCTGCTTGCTTCAACTCTTCCTCTCTCCGAGCCAGCTTAGTCTGAACTTTTAAAAGCATCCTGTAACACAGCAAAACCACCAGCAGTTATCAATCACTTAGACATTGTCAGACATTTCAAAACGGTGAATATTCTGAATAGTTGAAGTATTACTAGGGATGGCAAAAATGTGTTGCGTATATTAATAGATTAATATTTGCCATTTAACCTGTTAACAAAAATAAACAGTTAACCTAAATATTTAAAATACTGTTTTTATGCTGTTTCCACATTAATGAGGATATAAAAATGTGAAAACATTTGATAGTAAGATTGGATTAAAAAGGCTTGTTATAAATTTGACAAGGCAGGATTTAAATAATCAGCATCAAAAGGAATCATAAAATCAAATTACAAGCAATCATATATTACAATTTTAATTTTAATGTTTAAAATTGTGTATTATCTATTTAATCTGCAGATAAAAAGGCCTGTTTTAGAGAAATAAAAATCGAATTAATAAAAATTTTCAATTTATTGTAATTTGTATTTATTATTTTTAATAAATTAAGTGGTTTGGTCATTTGGGCGCAATACTAACTTTTAATTAAATTTTTTAATTTTAGCACGGGTATATTTGTAGCAATAGCCAAAAATTCATTGTATGGGTCAAAAATCATTAGGATATTAAGTGAAGATCATGTTCCATGAAGATATTTTGTAAATTTTCTACTGTAAATTTATCAACTTTTTGATTAGTAATATGCATTGCTAAGAACCAAGTTGTCATTTGGACAACTTTAAAGGCAATTTTCACTATATTTTGATTATTTGCTCTTTCAGATTCCAGATTTTCAAATAGTTGTATC